CACAAAGGCACACAGCGAGAGACAACTCATCCACCACAAAGGCACACAGCGAGAGACAACTCATCCACCACAAAGGCACACAGCGAGAGACAACTCCCCGTGAGAAAGACACTCAACGAGACAACGACTGGAGAAAAGAACGTATGTTTCAACCAGATTGTTAGGAAAACATAGACTGGAAATAGTTTACATTTTATTTTCCTATCTTGTTGTGTGGCTACTTACTTTACTTACTTTATCCGCCCTCTTGTTGTACCTCTAGGGCGTCGAGGGGAGAAAGAGCTTCCTGTCTCTAGCAAGTTTGATGGCCTGGCTGGTTGGATATTGAATATTCTAATGTTATCCTTCACACCCTATATCCAGGTCTTTCTTGGTCTTCCTCTTGCTTTGTATCCTGACACTTTCCTGTAGTAGGCTTTACTGGCAAGCTGGTTAGGTGCCATACGTGTGAGATGTCCAAACCACCTAATTGTTTGCCTTCGGATGTAGTGGAGAACAGGTGTTGTTCTCACCATTTCTGTAATCTTGGTGTTTCTGACCATGTCCCGTCTGGTTTTGTTGACAGCTCTCCTTAGACACCCCATATAGCAGGTGGTTATCTTATGTTCCAGACTTTTGGTCAGGGTCCATGTCTGGTACTGGTAGGTCAGGATGGGGATGAAGATAGAGTTAATGAGCTTGGCTTTAGTCTCAATGGGGATGTTAGGATGTTTGAGGAGTGGGGCAAGCTGGTAGCTGACGTTGTTAGCCTTTTGTACTCTCGTCTCAATTTCTTAGTTGAGACGTCTGTCTTCTGAAAATATGCAACCAAGATATCAGAACTCGCTAACTTGTTTCGGCGGATTTCCGTCGATGGTGATGTTAAGGTTGACAGGTGTTCTGCTGACTTTCATCGTCTCTGTTTTGCTTCTACTGATCTTCATGTTGAGCTTTTCACTTTGTGTATTCAGCCTGTCTGTGTGCTCTTGAAGCTGCTCTTCTTTCTCATATGCCAGGCTTTGATCGTCCGCAAACAGCATCCCATTCAGGTTTATCGGGTTGGCGTTTGCTTCTTTTGTAATTTTGTCCATGTATATTATAAACAGCTCATACTGTTGGTATAGACGGCTCCGATGTTGTCCAACAATTGTCCCCTAATGCAGTACTCTTCAAGTGTTTGCCACAGTTTGTTTCTATCCACTCTATAAAACGCTTTTTCCTGGTCTACAAAAACAAGATTCAGTTCTTTGTTGTATGCAATTGTTCTTTCACCCCGTTGTCGTAGAGCAAAGATAGCGTCTGTGCACCCTGTTCCTTTTCTGAAACCCATCTTCGCCTCACTCAGTAATGGTTTCACCTTGTGCCTTGTACGCTGTTCCAAGATCTTTCCGTACATCTTTCCTGTGTGGCTCAAAAGGAAAATTCCTCAGTAGGGTTGCAGTCTTTCTTGCTGCCTTTCTTCTTCCAGATTGGTATCACAAATGCACGCCTCCAGTCTTCTTGGACTTTCCTCTCCCTCCATGCCTTTTGGAACAATGCGGTCAGCCAGGTGATTTCTGTTTCTCCACTTGCCAGGATGGCTTCAGTTGTAATGCCATCAATGTCTGCTGCTTGGTTCCTTGGGCTATTCTTCAGTGCCTGCTGTACCTCTGATCTTAAGATGTTTGGTTCTTCTTCTTCTGTGTATCGTGGTTGAAATTGGCCCTGTGTGTTTCCTTGTCTGCTTGGGTAAAGCAGTTCCCTGAAATACTCCTGCCATCTGTTTTTGATGCTGTCGTCTTCACAGAGTGGGTTTCTGTTGTTGGGTTGTATGGTTCGTCTCGTAGTCTCATTACTTTGACACTTTGGTAGAACTGTCGTGGCGAATGTTTGCACAGTTCACTTAATATTTCGCCATATTCCTTCCATGACTGTTCCTTGGAACATCTCACTATCCTCTTGCTATGATGTCTTGCAAGTCTGTGTTTCATATAGTCCTCATCTAGCTTAGATTTTACCCATGTCTTGTACAACTGCTTCTTTTCTTTGATGGCCTCCTTTACTGTGTCATTCCACCACACTGTGTGCTTTACCTGCCCTCTTCCGGTGTTCTTTGTACCGCAGGCTTTACGGAGTGTCTCTGTCAGCGTGGTCTTCAACACTGACCATGTTTCTTCTGCTGTCATTTCTGAGCTGTGTACTTTTCAGCTTCTGTGTGACTTCTGTCTTCATTTCCTGTTGTACTTCTTCCTTCGGGAGTTTTCTTAAGTTGATCTGTCCGTCTGTTCCTTTCCTCTTCCTTTTCCTCGTTTTTTCACTCCGCTGCTTTGTAAATAAGATAACTGGCTGTGGTCAGTGTCCAGGACTGGTATTTGGTATGGCTCTCGCGTCCGTGACTTTTCCCCTTTCTTCTATTCTTGTCAAGATGAAATCTATCAGTGATGATACATTCAGATTGTTCAATCTGTACCAATTTTGTTTTTGATAGGGTCTGTGTTGGTAAAAGGTGTTTATAATCCACAGTTTGTATTCTGCACACAGTGCTAATAGCTGTTCCTCGTTGTAGTTGCACTCGGTGTTAATGTCGCTGTACTGTGTTGGCCAAGGTACTGGTCCCAAGGTGTTCTTCTCTTACCCACTCTTCCATTGAAATCTCCTATGACAAAAAGCTCTTCCCTGTCTGGGACTGTGCTTATGGTGTATGCAATCTTCTCAAAAGAATTCCTCTTTTTGTTCTTCGCAGTAGGAGTCATTGCAAGGTGCATAGTTTGGATGAAGTTTGAGATCTTTTGTTCTCCCCTTACTCGGATTTGGATGATCCTCTCCGAGATAAACTCTGTTTCCAACACATTCTTTGCTGTATCCGGGTGTAGAATAAAACCTACACCATGTGTTGCCCTAGTTGTCCCGTCCCCGCAACTCCAAATCAGGACGTAGTCCTCATGGATCTGTTAGATTCCAGTTCCCTTTCCTCAGCAGTTTGAAATTCCGATCACCGGTATTCTCTATCTCTTCATGAAGTCAATAACTTCTGGCTCTTTGTCTTTGATTCCACAAACGTTCCAAGCGCTCGTTCTTTCTCGTTGTCCTTTTCCGTTTCCGGGTCGTTTTCCGTTTTGGTGGGTCCGTTTCTTTCTCCCATGATTTTCTTTAGCAATAAATAATCCGCCACCGGCTTGCTAGGCCTGTCGTGGTTTCACCAAAGCCCGTTAGCCGGACGTTTCAGGGTGACCTGGGATGGTCTTCTTGGCTACTGTAGCGGTCACGTGAGTAAAACTCACACCATACATCTCTTCCAAACCCTACTTTGTCCGTTCCCACCTCCCGCAACGATTGACGAGGGGTTGGACTTTGGGAGCCTGTTGTGTGGCGCGGTGGGCAAATCAGGCCATCGTCAAAATTGTACAATCGAGAAAATTGACATCTCTCCGCTAGTTGGACAATTTTTGTTGATTGTTTTTGTTTGTTTGTTTGTTGTTTGTTTGTTTGTTGTTTGTTTGTTTGTTGTTGTCTTTTTGCCGAACACTGTTTATATCAACTTCTAGTGCGGTCCAAAATACTTACTGACAAATGTTTCTTAAACTATCGAAAATAGACTCTCCTGCTTTTGCACAATGACTTGTATCAGTTTGTTTTAACAGATCAATATTTTTTGTAAACGCACGTTAGCTGTATTCTAGAGAATTCTTCAATAAATTATACTAAACTCGCACAAAAAAGTCAAGGAACAACTTGTGTTTTCACCTGTCCAATCTAAACTTCAATATCTCGCAAACCCGTTAAGTTAAGTCAACCAAACTTGGCACACGTTCTGGAAACCAGACACAGTTTGCATGTACAGCAAATGTACCCACACGAGCTTCACAGTGATCCCGCGGAGAATGCCAAAACACAGCCGAAAAGCCTGAAAAATGGGCTACATTTCTGTGCCTCAGCAATATTGGCATAGGAGCTTATTGCTAAAACTGAGCTTGGCACGTGCTGAACAGATGTCTTTGCTGTGAATATCGCTATCTTGCAACCCTTTATAAACCAGCGTTTTTCAGCCATTTTCATTACAACACGATGGTCCAAAGACGCTCGCTGCCTGGTGTCAACAGAAGACGAGCCCTTGGCTGGCTCCAAGATGGCTCCACATTCCGAGTCGTTGCACGTCGACTTGGGGTGTCCCCGTCAGTCATATGGAGGCTGCAAGAAAGATGACGAGCTACCGGAAGGTCCAGGATAGGCCTAAACCAGAATAGCCTCGTTTGACCAACGACAGGATCGACCGGTTCATCGTCAGACAGGCCGTGACGTCATGAACCATCACCACAAACTGCATCAGGGGCAAACTACGGATGACAGCAAATGTCCACGTGAGCATGGAGACGGTGAGGAACCATCTCCGTAGAGCCAGGTTCGCTTTTCGTGTCTCTTCCAGGCGGCCAAGGCACACCTAGCCCAACAAAGCAGCTAGCCCTGCGTGGTCTGCTATCTATTCACGGTGGACACGACGTCTGTTGGACCAGGTAGTTTCGTCGGACGAATCCAAAATCAACCTGCTGCACCCAGTCAGGCGAGCCCGCGTCTGGAGGCGCCAAAGAGAGAGGTTCTACCCTGACTGCATCCAGCAGGTGGCGCCCTACGGTGAGGGTCTGTTCTAGTATGGGGAGGCTTCTCAGATCACCACAGGACACCCCCCCCCCCCCTGTAGCATATACAGGGCAATTTGACTGCGGCAGGGCACGGGGACAAAATCCTGCGTCCCCTTGCTGTTTCTCTCCTGCAGCAGACTGGACCCCAGGCTGTACTGCAGGACGACAACGCCGCGCCACATCGCGCACGCATCGTGGGGGACTTCCTGCAGCAGCGAGCTGTCGCCCGCATGGACTGACCAGCTTGTAGTCCGGATTTAAACTCAAAAGAGACCATAATTGGGATCACATTGACGGTGTATAATGGACAACCACCCTCCTGCACAAAACATTTAACAACTCTTGGGCTACCTCGTCCAGGAGTGCAGAGCCTACCGCAACAAGTTCCTCGAAGGCATGGGCTGTCCATGAGTCGACGCTGTACAGAGTGTTTGATCAAACAGGGTGGCTACACCCTCTATTGACAATGTTCATGAAGAACTATGGCTGTTCATACTTTTGAAATCCGACCAGTGTGATTTAAGCTCATTTTTCATGGGGTACTTG